TTTAAAGAAAGGGTTTGTTTCTGACAGCTTGTCTCTTTGGTTTTGAGGTTATTTTCCAGTGATACACAGCTGGTCTTATAAAAATATTTATTCCCACAATCTTTGCTTCCCTTAAATTATTAAATGAAACCGGAAAAGTTCCCTCTGCAGAAAAGTTAACAAGGCTGTGGATAGAAGTAGTGTATATCTCAATTAAAGGGTGACAGGTTACACTGTTTCTATCAGCAGTAGGAAGCTCAGACACAAGAGACAACAACAGCGGGGGAAAAAAAGGAAGAGGAATAACAGTGCTACTGCATTTGAGAAACAAAATGTTCCTCAGACGTCAGAAAATGCAAAACCAAACAACAAAAGCCCAACAGCCTACCTGGTTAGAATTTCCTGCTTAAGGGTAATCATTAATCTCCTCAAAGAAGATTAAAGTTCCATGCACACATACAGCACATCGAGGTCAGAACATTAAGAAAAAGTTTAGTCTGGAATAATACTGGCTCTAATAAAAAGAATCTTCCACTACTGACAATCCCTGATCATCCAAGAGTAGGGGAAGAGAAAAAAAGCCCCAAACCTCCAAACCCCTCCCTGCTCCCATTCCAAGAAGTCTCCATATCCATCACCTCGTACAAAACACTCTGTTCCCTTAGCCTGTGTTTGATTATTTGACAGTAAAACTTCCATAAGGAAGTTTACCATGCAGTGCAATGAAATAGAAACCTATCTTTCTCTAAGCAGTAAGAAAACAATTTGTAATAAACGTCTGTAAGTATAAAAACAATCCAGTGTCCTTCGTTATGCTACAAATGACACTGTAGATAACACAAAGAATTGAAAAACAAAAAGCCAAGGAAGGGAATTTTCTCAAATCACAATGCTGAAGTTACTTTGTTCTATTCTATTTCATAAAAACACCCGTATACATGTTCTCTTTCTGTCAAAGCTGACAGTGCTTCTCACGATCTAACACTTTCTCAGCACAGGAGTTTATTTCAAGTTTGTGAAACTGGCTGTTTGAAACATGCTTTGCTTTCCAGACATCTTACTCGGGCTGATCGTGCAGTACACATCAGATGTAAATGGTATTACCTTATCCAGCACTACAATTCAGGAGAAAAAGTGTCTTACAATCTTTAAAGTTATTTTAAAATGAAATAGAAAATATATGGAGGGTGTTTTAGTATTTGCCACTGAAGATTTAGAGGCTAAATAAAGAAAAGGAGGAAGCAACTAGACTGACACTTATGATGGGTATAGTTAGGGAAGGAATGGAAAGAGAGGAAAAATCCCAGTATGTTTCTGGAGGCAAAGAAATGCCTACAGAGATCAGGATACAAACACAGTCATCAGAACTTGGAATGGAACCTAAAACGTGTGCTTCCCCATGCAAATTCTGTATGGCAAAAACTGCCATGAAACTACCAACAGAGAGTGTGTTCTGGGCAGTGTGTGAGGTAAGACTTTTTTTATAAACCAGACTGAAAAGAGAGTTAAAAAATAAACAAACCAAACAAAAAAACCCACCCAACTATTAAGCTCATAAAAGCACGGACATAAGGTTAGAAATTGCTGGAACCACAGATGCACATTCAAATGACATACAGACCCTTTGTGAAAATACTTATGGTCCAGAATTTGTTTAAACAGCTAAACACAGACACTGCCCCACAGGAGTTCTGACTCTGCAACTGCATGGACTTGGGCCTGGAAATAAATCCAGTTTCTGTGAAAGCCTTTGCAATGTCTATAGGATTTCTGGCTCATGTGTTGAGGAAATTAGAAGGCATAAAATGAAACCAGTTTGCAAATGGAGTTTTGAAAAAAGAGGAAGACTTATAATTAAGTCAACTGAGTATCATTCCAGATAACTGTGTTCTCATATAAATCTGAGTAATTTACACCATGCTTTTCACCAATGGCAAATAATTGTGTCAATTTTCTAGGTGCCAAAATGTATGAATCTCAAGCTAAAGTTCTCAATAGCTCTGAAAACCTTAGCTACACTTAAAAGCAAGAGAGACTATGTGTTGAACTTATGCTCTAAAAGTAACAACTGTCCTGAACAACTGTATGGTGGTAAGCTTCTCCTAAAAAATAGATTTTGGGAGATTTTGACCCAAATGACTCTGTCAGATTCCTGTCCATAAACCTAAAATTACAGTATTATTTTCACAAGTGTTTTGTGCGGATGAATTCATTGGTGTCTGTGAAGCACACAGTAAGGCCACATAAAAAAACCCAAACCCAAGAACTCACAATGAAATTAGTAACTCAAAGGAATGCAGAGCTTAGCTGAAGTGTGGTAAATAAGACCTCAACCCCTACACTGAATGATAAGGATAAAAATGGAACTCTGAATACATTCCATTCAGTGAATAGCACTCATTTTTCTCTTGAATGGAACAGAGATCCTGTGGAAAAAAAAAAACCTGCTATACAATCATGAGAAAACCATTTGTAATTCATTACTCTGTTCTATATTTGATACTGATTAATGTTTTCTTTTCCTTTTCACATGATTTTTCTTTTATTCCCATTTATAGTCCTTTTTCATATTTTCTTCTAAACAGAACACAGTGTCAGCAAAATTGATTATAAGGAACTTTCCAACCTAACATGTTACAGCGCCTTCACAATTAGGCACAGAAAATGCTGTTATTCACCGTGATTTCACTTCTTCTTAAAGAAAAAGAAGAAAAAGGAGAAAATAGTCAGGCAATTTTGATTGCAGTATTTGCTCATGTCTTCTGTCAGCAGTGCCCATTTACCGCAGTTTTGTTGGCTATAGATTTATGTGTGCACTGTGGGTGAAGACTAAACCATGGTTCTTCCACCCAGTGTTAGAGTCCAGTCTACAGCATGATCACAGCATCAGCCCTATCTGCCTGATGTCCTGTTAGTAACGAGAGTGTTGTGGAGGAAAGTGTGGACCACATGACAGGCCACAACAATACAGTCAACAACTCTCATCTTGACACTCACACGTTAAAGGTTTAAATCATAACCTGATACTTTATGATAAGATGCTCAGAAAGTATATCATTCATTCCCAGGGGCTCTGGAAAGACACCTGCCTAATATTGCACGTTTTCAGCTCACAACCAGACATACCATTTTTGAAGTAGGCTACACTCTTCCTGTCCTCCAGCAGTCTACACCCCTGTCCTAGATCTAGAGCTATCACTGAACAGGAAACACTAGCACTGCCAAGCCCTGCTTGTTATACTGCATCATCTCTGAGGAAAAGGCATCTTATCTCTGTTCACATTCTCTTCAGCACTGAGAGCGACCTTTCCTCTAAGTAGATCAGCAGAAATACATTACAGTTCTTGATAGAAAGGAAAGCTACATAGAGATCCAGACTACTAGCATACAGGATGTATTAGTCCTAATGTGAGTCGAAAGCACGGACTGATTTACAGCATATATACTACACAAACTGTAAATGACCTGGTGTTTCTGGACACCCCTGCACTAACCCAGAAATCAGACCAAGAGGGGAAACTGGGCCACAGAGGGAACACATTTGGCCACTGGGATGCAGGAGCACAGCAGGCAAATTATATCTGTCTTCAGGATTACATACTAGGCTTTGCATCTGTGATGCCACAGAATTAAAATTAAATGCGTTTTATACTGCTGTAATGATCTTTGTTGACTTAATCTAAGAATAAAGGAAACTTATGCAGTCATACAAAACCTCCTCATGTTATTAAAATACACCATTCTCAAATTAATATGCACACCTCAAAATCATGTTCCTGTAACTTTGACAGGATTTGCATTCAATTCATGCTATTCTATATCAGACCAAAGAGTAAGATATTGAAATGATACACCACATCTCAACTAGCAGAAATTTAACTGTAAATCACACTGAATCGCAGTCAAGAAACATGCCAGAATGCCTATAGTAACACTCACATGTATTTTATTTGTTAAAGCTGAGATATTTGGCAGGTAAGTCTTACGGTTACCAACTTCTCCTCCTTTTTTAGCTCCTCCGGGTGCTTCCACCAACCCAGGAACAACATTCTTGGATACCTCCTCTTTAGGGGTTGGGGGGGAGTAAACCCAAGAAAACCAAACCCGAACCCTGAGAGGGCAGTTGGAGACATTATATGAGATTGTACTGGAAAAAGTAGTCTGTCTCTTGAGGAGAATGTGCAAGAACATCCTCATGCCTGCAGTGCTACCTTATTCTTTAGCTTTTATTGAGGCACTAGGTTCCCAAGCACAACCCCTATCCTCCTGCAGCATACCAATAGCAGGATGTAAAGTAAAGGACTACTGAGAGGAGACAGAAATCTTTACCACCTGCCCCTAAAACTTCACAAAAATCCCTTGTCCAAAATATGTAACAGTACATTATTGTTTAAAAGTGGTAGCCAAATAATTATTTAATTATTACCTCTGAAGAAAATGTTAATGGTGTGACCCATTTTACCGCAGAGCAGCTGTGGCATTCAAAAGACACCTGACTAGTCTGCTCAGTCAACAATAACTTATGAGATTTCATTTTGTTTCTGGGATGATACTTCTGAAAGCTTTATTTGAACTGAATCCGTAGGGAGGCATATAACTATTTTTATGCAACCCCAAGAAACATATCTCCCACTAATCATTTTCAAACCACGTTAATGATATTTAGCTCATTTTATTTGTATATGTATGTATTTGGGGATTACTTCGGTACATGCCAAAACCTGCAATATGGCTATCAAATGGCTATAACCTTTCCCTAGCTGCTCATGTAGTTACCAGTTGCACGTGAAGCCCTAGGTAAAAAAAGGTTTTAATTTCTGAAAAAAAAATACAATTCCTTTATTTAGATAAATGTTAATTAAACCACTTTCGGAAATCTGAATCAGTTTACCAAATAAGTAGGACACTGCGTGTAAATACATTCTGATTTCACAATAAATCAAAAGAAGTTATCACCCTGAAGAACTGAGGCTTGTATTCTGTACTCTAACAGGTAAACTTTAAACTGCTTTGCTACTTACCAAACCCTCACTGGGCATAATGCTGGTGAGATGAACTACCTCAAGATGTGCTGACTGTGACACCAGAGAATCGGATGAGAGCGAAATGATGTGGTCACAAATCCCAGACAAGGTTTTACACTACGAAGAAAAACAAGTCAATATAATTGCTCATATTAAACTGAAACTACTAGTGAAGAAGTTCTTATTCTGAGAACTAATTGAGAATGAATAGATAATTTTACTTCTTAGCATTGTAAAAACTACAGGTATATGATAGTTAAGAACAAAAAGTTAAGGGAACAGAAAATAACCATAAATTACAAAACAAGTTTACATGCATGTACATGCATGTTCTTCTGATCAAAACATTTTACTGTGCACTGAGAACTGTGTATCTGAACTATCTTCTCAACTCCAGCTACACACAAAACCAGAACCAGAAACAACCTGATCAACTACATCCTATCTGTCATTATAATGTATCAACATAGATACAATGGAAGTCAAGTGAAAAATGTCAAAATAAATGCCTTATCCACCAACTCAATAATCTATTTTGGCTACCAAAAGAGCAACCCGATCAGCAGTGATCATTAGGTGAATTCTGCATTAAATAACTTAGAAAGTGTTTCCTTTGTTAAAAATTACATTGGTAGATGAGTGCCTTATTTAACTAATTTCATGAAGTAAAATTCTTATGCATCTTCGAAGACATCCTTTAACTGATGTTCTGGATCACTGCAACTGTGCAATAATTTTCTTATCCTGCCTTCCAGCTAAAGATCTCAAAATCTTAATGCCAATCCACATAAACACCTTTGAAGTAGGAACTCCATTGCACTGAAATTACTGAAAGACTAAACACGTCTCTCAAAGGCAAACTGTCAACTATATGGATTAGAAAGAAGTCGATCTGTACTCTTGGAGAATCTTCATATATAAAGATTGATTCCCAAGTTTGCATGTGTTGCTTAAAGCTTTCATTTAAAAAGACTATGCCTAAAAATATTTGAACCTAATCTGAAAGTGAAAGCATTCATATGGATGAATTTCTGTATGTTCTTCCAGTCAAAGCTGTGCTGTATGCATCTATTTTCCTTTGGGGACTATACTCTCATTTTCCCTAATTACAGCAAATTCTGGTGAAATCTCTTAAGGGAAGTTTTATTCCAGGCATTTGCAAAAGCACGAAGACTTCTAATAACTCATTTGACATATTATAGGTTAAACAAATAAAGTTGTCACAATGTATAAATTAACTGCCTGAATTTAGAGATTATGTTTCCATTCACTCATCTGGAAATCCAAGGACAGGTCTGGAGTACTGGATGTGGCATCTGTATTCTGTACCAGTTGCAAGGTGCAAAGTCCCCCATTCAGATATGCATGACTGCACCTAAAGGTCATCATTACCCAAAATATTTCTAGTAGTTTCAGCTTTGGGACAGAACCCCTAAACAAAACTTTAGGTCCTGTCTTCTGCCACCAGAGACATAGAAACTGGCTTGCTCAAAAAGTGGACCCTACTGCTTATTCTGCTTATGAATTCATGTTTGACCCTGTCTGTGAGTATATGCTTTCATCCAGCTTTTGAATTAGACATATCAAAACACTATGATGATTTCAAACTGAAGCCCTCTCTTATGCTTTAACATTTAAGATCATATGTATAGATTAGATGCAGACTAAATCCCAGACATATCACTTTCTACTTTCTGATGTAATTCAAATACTTTTTCAGTAAATAAACTTTGGAATGAAATAAACAAAGAAGGTTTCAGTCAAATTTACTGTTATGAATCTGTAAGATCTCCCCATGATTCAGAAAATCAAATAAAATCTATGTAGGATTTTATCATGAGGAAAATATTCAAGAAAATCGTATTAGAGTATTTAAAAAGATCAGTTTGCTGCAAAAGAAGTTCAGCAGATACAAGAGAGGCCTGACACCAGTTGTAAATAATGCCAAGGCCCGGGTCAGGAAGTAATGTTTGGTACGGACTATCAACATGGGATGGTACACCAACACATGCTGAAGTATTTTGGGCACTGAAAAAAAGGGAAGAGCCGAAGTCTTGAGTACTAGTTCTGAAAGCACACAGAAGCAAAGTGCACGCTCTCCAGATGGCGCAATACTACTGTGCTTCAGAAAATCTCAAACAAAAAAAAGGGTTCTTCAAGAAGTTCAGCACCTGTTGCAGAGGAACTTTCCATACAGTTTTACAGGTGGTTCAACACCAACATTCATCTGTTAGACTTCCCTCAATGGGCCGTGACAATAGACCCTCTAGGTAACCACTAAGTCTTGAAAAAGCCATGCAAACTTCTATGTCACAAAAGGTTTTTTTAGTATGGCAGCTACTGCTTGGATGGTAGAATGGATATAGTTAATAATTTGTATGTACTGCTGAGAGAAAGAACTAGCAGGTTGTCATTTATTTATTATGAGAGGCATACTATATTAGTCTAAAGAACTGAGGCAGTTCCAACAACCACATTTGCTGAACAGATATCCAAAAAAAAAACGAAACCTGACCCTCCAGCATTCAGTTCAGAGTGATCCTGAAGATGACTCCTTCATAACTTGTCTTTTCTCATAATACTTGAGTGCAGAGTAGACACAGTCCAGTCCCACGACTACTGAGGGAATGGCATCTGTGCCCTGTGATCGCAGCTGAGAACATTCTCCCTCAGTGTGGAGCTATTCCACACAAATCTACACTTCAGTGAATATCTCCAGTAGCCAATGAAGAAAGTCAACCATTGATCATCATTCTATAAATCTGTATTTACTTCTAAGCATACCTTTCTTAATATCTTTCAGAAAGAGAACAAAAGGCCATGTGGTGTTTAAGAATTACAGATTCTCTTACAAGTGTAAATTTTTACTTTAGAGCATCAAAATTATTTTTCTTATTTTTAATTTTTTTAATAAATATAGAGACCATAAAAGAAATTAACTGTTTACAAAGCTTATTCTTTAATTCAGTGTCCTTGAAATAAATTTTCTTTTTTTTAAGATGCTGCTAGAAAGATGGTGATTCTTCTCAATTTACCCAGAGTTATGACGATAATCATGTCAATTCTTAGAGCCAGGATGCTCCGGGTCATAGCTTCACATGATTTTGCTCAGGCTAAGATGAGTTCTACTGCCTTGGGATTTAGGCTCCTTAAGGTTCATCACACTCTCACTGCTGAGCCTGTGGAAGGCTTAAAAATGGAAACTTTTCTCTCTTCACTTCCATCTTTTCAGGTTACCATCAACAAGAGGTAGAAAAGTCAAAAGTAATATTCGTGCTAAAGATGTATTTGTGAAAGTCATATGCAATTAGAATCGTGAGATAAAAATGCACATATATGTATCTATATATACATAGATGCACACACATACTCCAAATCCCAGAAGATTTCAGGTGCTTTTAGAAGTCCATTTCAGAATCAGGTAAGCTATTTCAGAATAGTAAGTTATTGTCTAAAAGTCACTGCATGCCTTTTGAATTTAACAGCACATAAATGTTTTAGGACATATTTTAATCCCTGCTGGAAGCAAAGTATGTGTAAAAGGTTTGGGGTTTCTGTTTTCCTGCTAAAACGAGTCAGGCACTTGGTTAGAGCTTGTCAAAAGCTTATCTGAACTTGCAAATCCTTTGAGATTTCCCTTTCACCATAGGGTTTAACTCTGTCTCAGCCAGTACAAGTTTTTAGTGCCAGTAAAATATAAAGGATTTGAACTTTACAGGCCAGTATCTAATCAATAACTTTTTATATAAGATTCTTCCATTCCTCTTCATCGCTGTATTTTTTGTGCGCACACTGTGCACCAATGGCTCAGTGTGACAACCAGTGAAGGCACCAGGTCTGAGGGATCCATTACTAGAATTCCACCTCAGCAATACTAATAGGTGTATTATACTAGTAAGAGTTCTGTGAAGCTTCTAAAACAATCTAAGAGCAATAATTATGTATTTGCAATTAACTATAGGTATAACAGGAATATAGGAACTGTGTCAGGGGAGTGAGAGGGAGCATCTGACTTTGCCTGCTAAAATAAACAGGTGTGGGTGTTATTTTATTACTATCATTTGGGTAGAATCTCCATTTCTTTATGTTGATGTAAAAAAGGACATTTTAGAGTGTTAAATCTAGAGTACTGGGGCAGCCATTAAACTGGCTGGTAGGAAGCAGAGCTATTACTAAGTTGGTTTCAGGCAGGGTCACAAAGCATGTAAGCTGATCTCTCTCTCGCTGGTCTTGATCTTATTTATGAAAACTTTAAGTTTTAGCAACTGTTAAAATTCATCAGAAGCTGTGTCAAACATTAATAAACTTTATTTTGCTCTAGTAGCTTTAATTTTTTTAATATCATTTAAGTAAATGGGGTAGGATTAGAGAAGAGCAAAGCAGAACACTTAGATTACTTACCACATGAAGAATTTTATTTTCTGTTTCATACACTGTACAATCCTGTGGCAAAATAAACAAAAAACAATAAGTACACGTTATTTTAAATGTCCTGTGAAGAAATGAAAGGCGTCTTTATGCTGATAGCTATCTCTTACAGACGTACGTGTAAAGACAAATGAGCTCTTGAGCTTGTCATGACCAAAAGGTTACTTTACAATCTCAGGCCACTTGACTTCTCTTGTGGCTAGTTAACCTCAGGGATCTATTCGTCCCTTGACAGTCCTGAAACTCGTGTTCAAAACTAACAACAATATAAATGTAAGCGGGGGGGACAGAGTCATGATAGTGAGAAAAAAGTAACTGGGTATAATTAATGTGGCATGTCAGATTTTCAATGATGTGCAGAGCAAGGGCTACACTGCCTGGCCTTAAATCAGGCAGAATGTTTGTCACCTGTCGCACAAGCTGTGCGGGGCGCAGTCATGTCAGACCTATCACTAGGTAGATTGTGTTACTATAAAGCACGGGAAGGAAGAGGAGACAGACAATATTTGACAAGTACAATGCTAAAGATGCTAAACATCGCATGTGCATTCTGTCAGTTTCTTCTGCTCCATCTTTTGCTCCAAGGCCTGACTGTCTACACTGTGCACAAGGGACAGAAAAGAGCAGTGGTCCCATCTGCTTGCTGAAGTCACATAACTGCTTGAGCTTTGAACTACGGAAGGCACAAGCCACACCAAAAAGGGATGAGAAAGGACACAGGGCTGCTCATGCTGATCACTGATCCAGGAATATCCAGGAGGTTTCACTGCCATAAGACCTCCCAAAGAACAACTCCATCCCAGCTTTCCATTACACAATGTTGCTCTTAACCAATTTAAAGTAGGGCTGAAAAACAATATTCCTGATAAACCTCTGAATTTGCTTGTAACTTCTAGAGCAGCCATTTTCCTATTTTAGCTATTTTTGAAAGACTAATAAATCTTATAACTCCGTAACTTAAGAGTTATTTCTCCCTTAATGTCTGTTTTGATCTAGTGATACTACAGTGCCTAGAATAGCACTTTTCCTTTGTGGAACAAAGCATACAAATTCCTAAAAGGAACCTCTACTGCTTTTGAATGTTTAGGGAATTTCCTCAGCACAGCCCTCTGTAAATCAAGGCACAGCCATGGCACAAGTGCTTCACTCCTTGCTACAGGAGAGGCCCTGGGTGCACTGAGGCAGCTCCACCACGGCCAGGGCTCCACAGTACCACCCAGCATCTCCCTGTGTTCAGGGAGACCCACACCAGACCCTGAGGGAGGTGGGAGCCCCAGAGCCCTATGAGCCCTCCACAACCAAGCTGTGGGCTCCTCACCTCACCAGTGCCCAGCTTCCTGTCTGTAATGCCATACGTGCATTGAGTAATTACATTTAAGCAAATGAATGATTAACAGAAAAGCTATGTTGGGAGATTGTTAAACACTTCTCCAAATGGTATGCCGTGTTGGAAAAAGCTTTCTGCAAAGCAGGATGAGGATTTCAGAACATATTTATAAGGATGAGGATATGACAAGTAAAAAACAGTCTGCCTTGTTTAGGTGTCTTAGGTGTTTAGTTTCCAAGTAAAGTTTAACTTATTGATATACCTAAAAGACCCCCTCAAATAATTTAAGATTCCCTATAATTTCTCTTTCCTGGATCATAATACCTTTGCAGTAACAGTTGATTATTTTAAACTTCCCATTAAATAATTCCAATGTCCCCACTGTATTTACTCTAGAAGCAGATTGGCTCGGGCTGTGGTACTCTGTGAGAGAGATAGCAGCTGACTGGCAGATCTCTGCTCCGCTTGTCCAGGGGCTTAAAACCTCAGCTGTATCCCCCCCACTGAGGATACAGTGCCCAGCCCCCAAACTATGTTCCTGGGATGCTCTCCTGAGGACCTTGTCCTTCCGCCCATCCATGGCTGCTGCAGATCTGATTCAACCTGCCTGAGCCGCTCAGCCCCGGGTACAGGCAACTACCGCAGCCTCTGCCCCAAGGGTCATGTTTATTTTGGAACAGTAGCACTTTTATAGAGAAATTAATTTCTAAGTGAACACCGTTTAGAGAATATTGTGACAGAGTAAGAAAGTTAAAATCAGAAGACTGAGAGTGCCAAGAAACACAGAGAAGAATTTATATTAGCATTTCATGGTCAAGTATTCCTTTGATGTTTCTCCTGTATCCACACTGTTATTTTCTAGAGCACAAAAAAAGAATTCAATTAGTCAGTTTGGATGGCAATGCCCAAGGCAGTTTTCCCTACAAGTTTTACACACTTAAAACAGCACATCCACCATCTCCTTTTAACCCTCTGAGTACCAAGAGAACAAAATAATCACAGCAGGGCATACCACTTGACTTCAGAGCTAATGCTCCTTTCTAAATTATTCCTTTAATTTCTGTGCTAGAAACGCAATATGAGCTTCATTCTGAACAAACTTAATTACTTCAGGTCAGAGAATAGAAGCATTTTGTATAGAAAACCTGAAATTTTAATGTTTTGTAGAGCAGAATTAATGTCAGCCATACTTATGTTGCACATTCAAGATTACATTAGCATTAAAAATGTTAATGGCTTTGGGATTCCTTCCAAAATAGATGTATATTGACTTTTTTGCTTAAATACATCAGACTAGCTTAACTGAGAGCTTAAAAGCCCTTCCAATATTACACTAACATATTAAGATACGTAGGTCACGATATTCTTCTGATTTATTTTTCTCTGATACACAGCTATGCACTAGGGACCTCATTAATAAAAAATCAAAACCTTCCAGGACTAACATGTATAGAATTTTGATCCATTTTTCTTAGGAAATAAACAATATAGTTATAGTAATGTTCTTCCTACATCCTCCTTAGGCAGGATGACATGTTTAAAAATGGTTTGAGCTAAAAAAACTCTTAACAAAGCACCTGCATTCTATTTCCCCTCTGTAAAATGGTAAAATACAGGAATTATGAAAACAATCACAGCAGCAGTGTTACATACAAGTCAGCTTCTGCACTCTGCAGAACGACCTACCTTTCAAAGGTACAGTACACATTCATAACTCTGATAAAGCAAAACAGCATTATTTGAATATTCATGAAGAAAAAAGGTCAGTAGGACTTGTGCTCACCCACGCTATGTTCATAATTCTAGTTTCTATTTCCAAAAGGGAAAAATGCAAGCACTACTGAAATTTGCAGATAGATACCATAAAGAACATTTTGTAAGAAATGTTGAGGACAGTTAACCAACACATAAAGGTAGTAACACAAGTAAAATATTTATTTAGTTCATTACCTTAGTACAATAAACCTGCATGAGTTAAGTCAACTACTGAAAAAAAAAAAGACCCTATAAAGGAGCAGCCTGGAAGAGAACTTCAAACTTTATGATGTTTGCCAGTTGAATGCCATTTCCCAATATAACACTGCAGTAAAGATCTACTGCAAGCTTCGTGCGGTGGATATGACAACACGATATTTAAAAACATATTGCTTGCATATACAAAATCAAACACTTCTGGAATTAAAAAGAACGAGATTGCTCTGAAATTAGGCAAAGATGCAGTGGTAAATAGACTGAAGTAACTTATTTTACTCGGTTTAATTAAGGTAAAGACTTGATCATAATCTATATTTAGAAAACAGTGAACAGATGTTCAATAACAAAATGTTCTTTAGCAAACGCAAGCCAAATAAGATGGAGGGGCTGAAAGCTGAAGTCTGCAAAGTTCAAACTGAAAATAACACCCACGTTTTTACTGGCAGCTGCTGAATCACAGAATAGTTCAGTTGGAAGGGACCTCTGGAGGTTATCTAGTCCAACCACCTGCTCAGAGGAGCAAATAAAAGTTATACCAGGTAGAGGAAACTACTGTGAAACAATTTCTTTTCATGGCAGTACAAACTAGATAGCTTTAAGAAACAAAGCTTCAGCTTCATCCTGAACACAAAGTGTTTGGCTAAAAGTAGGGTAAAAGTCTGCGTTATGGTGTCTGAATTTATCTCAGTGAGGATAATTAAACATTAATAAAGGGGAGAACAAGCAAAAGTTCGTTTGGCATTTGTTGGAAAAAAATTAGCCTGAGTTGTGCTGACATTCTTCCACGAGGCACAGTCAAACTTTTTGTTTAGAGGACGTTTGTTCGTGCACTATAATGGATGTGCCAAAAGCATCTATCACAAGTTTAAACATCTCAGACAGAAACAGAAAAAAATCAGAAACCCATTTCTATTAGAACAAGTGAACTCTTTCTACTCAATGAAAAATTAACCAGCGTCTACATTTTATGAACAAAATTCCAAACCTGTTCCTCAACTGTTATTTCAGTTATCTTTCCTCCAGGGTAACCTTGGCACTCGAGCATGACCAAATCCAAATTCAGTTAAGTAACTCTGGTGGATTCATTTTCAGAGGAGAAAGGAGAGCTAGCCTACCTTGAAGCTAAAGTTGCACTTCAAAATGAAGTCAGCAGCTCAAACACTTCAATACTCTGTTCTAACATGTTTTTTTTTGCACATTGTCATCAGCACATTTTGATAGGACATCACACCTTAAAATCAGGATGTGCCTGCAGCTTTCTGCATAATGCTATTCTTTCATAGTTTCCCTGCTTATTCTATGAAGGTGATATTGTGAGAGATAAGAAAACTGAGTAAAGTACAATCCCAAGCATAAATGGACAGGTGTAAAACTCCTCTAAAGCTAAAGATCAGCATTCTCATAACCAGTATGAAAAAATACTGTTTACAAATAAACAAGTGAATGCTTACTCATCATAGCATTTATGTGGTGTGTAAATAATGATATCCAGCATTGCAGTTCATGTTTAGTTTAAATTTCGAATGAAGATGTCATCTTCACAGTCATACAGAGAAAAAACATGACATAAAAGCTAAAAACCTACTTCCTGATTAGAGCTAAGAGTATGTCACTCAGACACATAGAGTACATCCCAGCAAGAAGCTTCACACGCAGTGTCTGTACTAAACTAAGGTTATGCACCAATGCCCCCTATTCAGAAGGAAGTTCACCCTGAGTGGCAGCTATAAGTTAACCACAAAAGTGTGTTAATTTTGCACAAAATAAATCATCAGGTTGAAGGCATTCCACAATGTGCCAAATGCATAGCCCTGTCTGCTACTTTCACACTGACTAAATTAGACACCTAAAATATACATTGTTCATGAAACAAAGAGTACCTAAAAGGATCTGAAATCCAGGTTTCTATTAGTTCCACCTTTCAATTCATATTTTAGCCTATAGTTAAGACCGAAATTCTGGGTTAAGTGAAACATTTCTGCTTTCACACATTAAGATCAATTTTCCTCAGATTTAGTAACATCAGAACATTCTCCCTAGCAATGATCTTGGTTTTTATTACTCTTTCTGGTTGCTAAATTTAGTCTACTGTAAAAAGGACTCAATAGATGACTATCAAACAACCCAGACCTGACAATAAGGAAAAGACAAAACTTGATTTTTAACAGACCTGAAGAACTAATTAAACATTTCTCATCTTGGAATGTCTTGGAGTTCATGCTAAAAGATAGATTGTTTTTATGCTGTCAAAAGGAGGACAGCTTTGGGAGTGGTGCTGAAGACTCGGAATTAAAAAAAGAACCAAACTACGAAACTATTGCTGGCAAAGCAGAACTGAATGTCATCCGCCAAAACCAGCAAAATGAATGACAGAAAGGGAAACAGCAATTCAAAAGTATATTGTTCTCACCTAGACCACAGGGAAAAATCAAACACACAAAGTGCAATATCAGCTGAAGGGCAGAATCAGAATCCAAACTTTTTATACTGTAGAGAAGTTCATTTTGCTTAGTCTGTAAATCAAAAATAGCCTAGTGCTATAAACACCTTGTAAGAGAAAGCTTAATAAAGATACATCAATAATTAAATGCCTACATAGGAATTTTTAAACCAAGAAAACAGAAAAAGGATCTTTGTTTTGCACTGTAAAAACGCATAAAGGGCAAAATTTCTAACAGGAATAAAGCTGAATATTATAAATTAAGGATAATAGTGGAAAATACAAAGACTGATACTTATCAACCTTAATTCTTTTTTCCAAGAATTAAAATGAAATTGAAGAGGAGGAAAAGAAAGAAGAGTTTGCAGAAAGCAGCTACTCCATACTTAATTGCTGTGTTGGAGGCAGGGCCATTTAACTGGCCAGTCGTTTAGACAGTGCTTATGAAACTACAGCTTTAAGCTTTTTTCTTGTTTTCCTTCCTACACCACTTTCATCTTTCTCTTTTGGTTCATTACAAGACAGCCCTGCCTGTTCTTTAACCTCTCCACATCTTGCAGTAACACTGCTTTTTCTCATCAGTGCTTTCATCTACTCACAAGAGGAGAAGCTCACTGTAAATATTTGTAAAACCAGCTTCCACTTAGTGTTTCTGTACCTGTGTGTCACCTCTTACCTTACTTCAGGGGCAGGCACTGTTAGAGGCTATTATTATTTGTATATTGCGTAGTACCACAGACCAGATAAATTTATTTTGTGTACCTGTGGACAGTACTGTATTACAATTAATTAATGAACATTAGTGATGATAACACTACTACCATTATCTGTTCCATATTTGGTTTGCTCAGTGCTATGAATATTTCATGTTAATCACTAAACAACTTTCAGGTAACTGGGTCTCCTTTAATTGAGCAAGCCACAGTACAAACACATTTATTTGTATGTATTCTAAGAACTTGCCCCTGAAAGAATTTTGATCATTCATATTTTAACCTGTAATAAACTGTTAGCAGTAGTTATGCTGTTTCCCACTGCAGCTTTGTTCTTTTTTTTAACACTTGCATGGTGGCAGATAACCTGACATGAAACCTTCCCAGCACTCCCAGAGAAAGAGAGGTAAAGCTAAAACAATTTTTCTGATGAAGTGAAAGCTTAGCAATGTTTTTACTACTGCAATTTTTAAGCATCAGAATGAGGAGGACTCAGAGAGGAAGATAATCACTCCTACCTGTTGCACAATGGTTGTAAGTTCCAGGCACAGTTGAACAATGTTGTTTTTCAGCAGTGAGTATTCTGTCACACTGACAAATGGAGACCTGTCAGAAAGGAAGGGTAGGTTAGTACAGACTTCACAATGACGCCTCCTGTTCACCAAATAAGCAGAAACACGTAATATAGAGATCAATTCTACATCACAGAAATATGAAATACCTAATCATAACAATTTCCAGTAGCAAGTTACACAATTTTTCTAAAATATATCTTTGAAACAAGAAACAAGGTAGGCAGGAAGGCTGTAAACTGGATTCTGGCCAGAATATCGGAAGTTATAGTTCTTGTGGCAAGTGGAAATAGGAGCGTCCTAAAAATTGTCAATAGTCCAGATTTCCTTTGTGCAGCTTATTACAAAGACAGCTTTTCCAATATGACACCACTCTTCAGCAGCAGTTAGCACCTTAATTAAGACAGCAAAGTAATGCTTACTTAGTCACTAACAGCTTCCTGCACCCTCGGATTTTCTTCAGGCTTTGCAGATTCTAGCTGAATCTGGCCCCATTTGAATTCATAAGAACTGACAAGGTGATAGCCCAAGAGAATATGACTGCTGGCATTAGGTTAGAAAAATGTCACCAGGATTATACAAATCCTGGAAAGGAAGGTGATTCACCCTCACTGTGATTTCTAAGGTGCCATTTATACACTTGAAAGCATTCAGATTCAAGATAAAACTATTTGTTGCTACAACTCTAAAGAAAGAGAAACAAAACATAAGTGCTCTGATGCTAGTTTGTGCTTTGGTTTCCGTCTTTCCACCATCAAAATTTTAACTGCATTTATTCAGAGAGATACGTACACCAAATTCTGAACTTGGAAATGACTGATTGTTGAGAACTAGCACCACAACTGTATCTAACACATCAATCCTGCTCTTGATAAGAACTCTAATAAGTAAAGCTAAATTTCAGGCAAAGCATGTACTATAATTTATTTTGAATATTCTTAATTGATTTGCTCAACTCCAGCTTTTTTATGTCTCCTTTGATGGCTGAAGGACACCTCAAACTATACAATCTTTTCTTCCTTGCCCTTCTTTCTGAAATTACCTGTGACATTGCCTCTTCTGGCAGTGAAATGTCAACTTGGAATAGGACAAACCAGTTCATTTCACATAAAATACTATCAGACTGAAAGTAACTAGAGAAAACTTTAACACCCTCCTGACAGAAAAGGGTACTAGACTTTTCCCTCCTATTTTAGAGAAATTTGCCAAAACAAATTTAGAACTAGAATTCCAGAACTGGCATTTTAATATTAGAATGTAAGAGTACAAGAGAAAAAGACAGAACAAACACAAAACAACCCAAAGAATTATTCTTATGCATAAAGGATCAAGGAATAGTAAATTACCTGTCCAGCCAGGCTAGTAAGTTCTTGGCAGCACCAATCAGGTCAACTACAGAGGTAAGAAAATCATTTGGCAGTCGTCTGGAGGCCCTGCCATCATAGTGGCCACTCCTCCTTCTACCCGTTATAAAGTTCTGAAGGTTTTTGGCTGAGGCATTCAGCTTGTGAGACAGAGTTCTCAGGTTTTCAGTCTCCAAACCATAATTCTGAGGGGAAAGAAGAAGATACACAATGAAGTGAAATAGTGCATTGTCAGCTACATAAACCAAGAAGTTAAACATTCTGAATGGTACTGGCTGAAAGGCTGGGGGACTTATGGATGCCTGGTTTCTGCAAACCCATTGGTCTAGCTATGTCACCAAGGGGAAGGCAAAAAGAATCCTTATATGCTGAGTCTGAAGGTCTTTCCCATTTTCAAAAAGTGGGGATGAGTCAGAACGTCATCCCTACCTGCTATGCTTCAGTGTTAGCTGACTATGTGGTGTATAGCAAGTTTAGCAAGTGTTAGCAGCCCCACTGCACTGGATCTTGCTCACACAGATTGTGTCAGTGTCTCCACTAAGTCGGAATGACTTAGCCTTGGCAGAACTTCCTTTTCACTTATGCTTTTACAGGAAAATTCCTGAACCCTGCTATTGGTGGTGAGCAGCTGTCCCATAGGTAACGTAAGATGGGAACAGTCAAATCAGGTCAGAACAAAGACATGGTACTCCTGTGTCCAGTAACTGCACAGGGAAGAATCTGAGAAAAGATCAAGCATGTTGTAACAGCTGTTAGTGTTCAGAGACTTCAGCCACTGACAGGGTCTTCATATTTAATACGTCTTAATGGATCTTCTTCCACTGTTCCAGTGCTGATGGGAACTGGGGGAGGGTTGGGGTGTTTTATCTAAGTAAAGATTCCCACACACAAGTCCATTTTCCCTTTGTCCAACATTGCTTCATCTATGTCTCTGTCCTTTTATCACCAAGCCAATTCCCCACTTAGACCCAGGTAACAAGCACAAAGATACCTCAGCTCAAATACATTAAATAATTCAGTCAGGTTCACATAGAAAGTCTGAAACATACTGAATTGAACACAGATTTCCTGCTCCCACACCAGGATGTAGCATGTGAAAGAATTTAATGAGCATTTAAACAAAATCAACTTTCAGACTGTGATTTGATTGCCCACTATTAATTTCAACTCTGTTTATGTTACATCATGAATATCACATTCTTCTTGCCTGAACTTGCTCCTCAAAACAGAAAATTAAGAACTGCAAACAGCATAAAATCTGATGGATGCCAATATGGATATTTTTACTGGCAATCGTAATTTCCAACACCAAAAAAAAGAAAATGCATTGACCAATAACAAGCTTATGAAATGGAATTGGATGGAAGTCAAACAAAACACAAACACTGGGTGAAGTTGTTTGGACCACTTACAGCTCATCCTGAGGACCATGCTTTCTCTGCCAGCCATTCTCCTGCTTAGAGCTCACACTGAAAAATAAATCAAGCCCCTGCCTCTAGCTTGGAGGGCAACCTACAAGGAATGGAGACACTTTGCTATCTGAGTCAGTTCTGCAAAGAATTCAGATTTTAAAATAGTTTTAAATAGTAGGGGCAGAATTAATTTATTTGTTATATACATATCATGCCTAAGGCATCACAGTCAATGAGGTTTGGAATTTGAGTTTAAGATTGAGCAGTGAAATAAACGGAAGTTGCAATGGTTTAGCTACAGATGAGAACAATGCTCTTCATCTTTTTTCCATAACAAATACTGTGCAGTTAGTCAGCATCACTAAAGCAAGTCATTCTATTTTGCAAAAGTTTAATGTTAAAAAGCCAGCTGTATTTGATATTAATATGCCATCTGTTTTATATTTGTAGCAAATCTTTATTTTATTAAGGCACTGAAGGAATTCCTTCCCCTGCCCTGTTTTTCTCTCAGCTTCTCCTTGTGCCAAGATGATGACTAAATGGACATATCAGGATGCCTTTACTGACTAGCAACCAACTAGACAGTGCTTGGTTTCCCCTCAGAAAGAGTTTGAATTTGCACACTCAACAAGATGTTACAAAGATGCTAAACCAGATCCTCCTGGTTTTATTTCCACGTCCAGCTTTGCTTATCCCTGTGGAAGCAAGCAGAAAATATTTCCCCAGTAATTCACTATTGCACAAAAGCTCTGGAAACCTCTCAGTTTACTGCCAAGAAAAGCTAAGCAGAAAGGGAAACAGATTGGCCAGTGAAGCTGTAAAAGCCAGAAAGTATGCTAGATGCTACCAAGTAGTAAGCAACTGGAGCGATCTTCTCAAGTCATTAGTAAATATGCAGAATTGAACAGAAAAAGCATTTGAGGAAATCCACCTAGTGAACGAGTAAGTTCGTTGTTTTATCTTTATTAATTACATGCCAATGGCAACCTCAATTACTGTGAGCATCAAATTCAAAATATAGCAAAGCGCAGACAAAGTATGTTCATAAAGATAATCAGAAGATGAAAGGAAATTGTTCCTCACAGTAGAAGTGCTGATGCAAGTGAGTGGTTTAGCTGAGACTTCACAAGCCACAGTAAAGGGGAAAAGATAAAAATATTACAAAAAATTACAGTGAATCAGTATCTCTGTAGAAGACAAGAATTATATTGCTCTACATTTAAGCTTGCCTTAAATCCAAGATCATCATTTTAAAATGAAACTACCATAATTAATTATAAAATGGGAAAAAGTCAGAAATAATCCTCAAAAGTAGCACCTCTGAGCACCTCATCCTGACTCTCAGCACCCAGCCAACCTCGTGTCAGCTGCATGTTTCTCTCTCCATATGCACCTTCCCTCATCAGCAACCAGGATGCCTGGATATAAAAGAGATTGTTCCGGAGCAGAAAAGAGCAGGCAAGCGGGTGCACACACAGATGTGAACTGCAATGATTCAGATTCTGGGAATGCACCTGAAAACACAGTTGGAAGAGATGCAGTTTATGATAACAAGTAAGTAGATGGGTAGCCTTGTTCCGCAGATGTGATCCTGCAAGTATCACTTCCAGTTCCTGTAGGCATCTCATCTGCATGGTGATGACTGAGATAGTCTCAAACCTTCTAGACTAACTCATTATCCCAGCTACTGTACCAGCCTTCAGTTTCACAGCCATATATTCTGCTCTTGCTGTGCTAAATATGTGCTATTATTGTGAGATGCACCACAGAAATGATGCTTCTGAGCTGGTAAAATTCTTCCTCCTGGCAGGTGATTTCTTTCTTCCTATCCTATCCTAGATATAATTTCTGGTTTTAAAAGAAAGAAAAAAAAAAAAGGGAAAAGCCTCTAAAAGGGACAAGGGGGTGCCATTAGCATAGACAGGATAATTTTTCATACCAAGAGCAGGGAAAAAAAGAGCCAAGCAAGGTTTAATCCATTCCCTGTTGCACAGTCATTTTTACCAATTTTTCTTTACTTGATCTGTGGATAATGGACATACAGGTTTAGAGAATTAATACAGACTATTAAAAGTGACCCCAAACACTGCCTGTCCAGAACTACACAGTCATACAAATTGTCAAATTATTACTAAATCTGAATTATAAACTGTTTAGTGAGAACAGAAAGTGGACTGAAGTCAACCACACTCCATTTCAGTCAAGCAGGCCTGACAGGCGCACTGCAGAAAGGGTAACTGGGAGGCCAGGGCCAAAGTAATGACATCTTGAGCACAGGAAGACATGACTGTAAATTGGTAAATCTACTAAATGTTTACTCAAGCTTCTTCACATAAAAGCACTGTTCAAACAATGAGAGATTCTGTATATTCACTGAGTGTAATATACTATAGCATTATTACCTTCACATTAAATAAAGGAAGTTACCTAGAGGTTATCTGATTTGTTCAGTTTGATGCAGTAGTGTATTTTAGGTTAGAGCTCAGGAATACCTAATGCCCTGTACAATAACAGAAGTTGAAAAGAAGGATTTCAAGAGGTAGAAATGAAATGCAAATGAGATGAAAGCCAGACAAGTTTATTATGGAAGAATATCATTAGTGATAATGCCAAGATGAAGCTGTGCTGAAAATGACACTTGCTAATGAGATGTACAATTGATTTGTGTTTAAGGGTAAGTCTGCTTGCTGTCTGGAAAACACAGTTTTCAGTGTTAGCAATCTCATTCTCTAATGACTGTCAGTGAGGATTCCTGCCATCTCCCCAGCTCCCTTCTCCTGTTTGGTTGGAGATGCCTGTTCCAGTGTTTCTAGTGACTCAGGTTATTGTAGGGTGGAAAGAGGGAAGAGACAAGGCAGGTTGCTCCAGGGCTTATTCAGCTGGTCAAAGTGCTGATGGAGTGTAAGGGATGATGTAAAAAATAAGTTATTGAATATTCCATATAGTTAAAAATGCATACTGGAAATGGAAATTGAAAACCAGGGAATCTGTCTCCAAACACATATTTCTTCCTTTTTGCATAAATCCAAACTGCAGAAATAAATAGCTAAATGCAGTGTGACACGAACCCTGCTGCTCTGTGTCTATATTGCAAGTCCTGCTTTGTACATACATTCTGGTTTGAAGTTCTGTTTTTAGAAGACAGTGGGAAAACTGGGAAAACCTTTTATCCATCTGACCATACAATACCTGTGGCTTGTAAATACTCAAAGAGGTGGAATGAGGAAAAGTCTTCAGCTATAGCATAGGGTGTTCTCATATCTTACAGCAGGTGTGTAATAACATCACAAATGAGTAGTTTATGTGAATAAAATTTTAGCCACTAAGATAAAATAGTCCAAATTATTGTAGCAAACACTGAAATAAAAAATAACAAGTACAATGGGGGAAAAAAAGGGTAAGTACTAATCAAATTTTTTGTAAACACCTGAATAGCAGAGCAGGAAATACCTTCAATATAAGAGGAGTTTATTTCTTCTGTGGACACCCCACCGCAGCATGATATACTTTAAAGTACTAATATAATGAAATTGCTTTGCTGTAATGTGTCACAGAGAAGAAACGTGTGCACATCAAAATTTACCTGGCAGAGGATATAATTTTAGCTAGATAATTTATATTGAATAAGTGATGACTTTAACCTACCTCAAAACCAGAGTTATTTTTAATTATAGTAATTTTTCTTGATGCTGCCATTCATGTAAGTAGTCAATGTAATTTCTGAATAAATGCATATAAACACATGGATGTATACACTGCTTTTTCTGTAGGTG